AAAACGTACTTACAGGCTGTGAGTCAGTCTTAGTGGGTTGCAGAAGCGTTCTAGCTCACATCCTCATCTTCTCAGAATCTAACAGAACCGCAGACTGAAGGCGGATCACTGATGTGAGGCCTTTAAGGTCTGAGAAGATTCACGCCTCTCAAGATGGGCTTGTCCAATGAGAAAGGCTGAAATCCCAAGTGGGAGGTTGCAATTACTGGAGGGTTTTACGACGCTTTGTGTGAGGGCATGGTAATTTGCAAATGGAACTCGAGTGGGGGGTGATGAAAGATTACTAAAGGTTCTTAGAACACTAATATGTTGCATAGGTATAAACATATAATATACACTCTCAATTAGATAATCCGAATACGAATTCATAGAGACCAAACATGGTATAAGCAAGGTTACATGGATGAGTGGTTCTATCATAAACATGCATTAAATAGTCTACAATAAAACAGACAATATACAAGACAGCAATAATATATACAATGACCTGAAGGATATGTGTGTTCATTCATAGAAAGGTTTCTCTATGAATTAATTAGAGAAGAATCCATTTATGGGCATTGTGTGTCTTTCCTAAGGGTAAATGAAGTGTGAGTTTCTCTGCCCGCATTCCTTTGGGCAATAAAACCAGTGATATCAGCCTTGGTTGCCATGGAACCAGAGGCCTGTTCTGCCTTTCTGAGGTGTTATGCGCATTTCGGGGGAAGGGTCCATAGACCCTCATATGGCTTGTTAACTGAAGGGTGTTACAGAGTATTTAAGTATAACACAAAAATATATACTGTGTGTCTGATTGGTCCAGATGCTACAACACACACACACACACACACACTCTCTCTCTCTCACACACACACTCTTTCTCTCTCTCTCTCTCTCTCGCTCTCTCTCACACACACACACACACACACTCAAACAGGTTTGTTTTTATGGTTTATGGGGACTCTCCATAGGCGTAATGGTTTTTATACTGTACAAACCGTATTTTCTATTGCCCTACACCAACCCTACCGCTAAACCTACCCCTTACAGGAAACTTTCTGCATTTTTAGATTTTTAAAAAACTCATTCTGAATGATTTATAAGCCTTTTGAATTATGGGGACACTGAAAATGTCCTCATAAATCACATTCTCGTTGTAATACCTATGTCATACCCATGTTATTATACAAATTTGTGTCCTCATAAACCACATAAACATGCACACTCTCACACACTCTCTCACACACACACACACACACACACACACACAGTCTCAATTCAATTCAAATGAGCTTTATTGGCATGACTTGCACAGTATTGCTAAAGCATTGTCCATTACATGAATAAGGAATAAACAAAACAAGAATATATCTGTAAAATAATTATGTATTAAATAATCGTTTAAGTAAATAAGTGCATGTATACTTTCTTTCTTTTTTTCCCCACAAACAAGAAACAAGAAAAATATTTAAAGGAGTGGTTTACTGGGTTTTTTCTAGGCTTGATTGTGTTTGGGTGCTGTGTTAATGCTTTGTTTAAAAAAAAAACATTATTTTTCACATAATTTACCTTTATTCCACACCGCTCTGTCCCTTCTCTGAGAAACACGCTGATCTTTTCCTGTATTTATGAAGCCCTGCCCTCAGAAATAGGCAATGGGCTCTGATTGGTTAGCTAGCCCAGTGTGTTGAGATTGGCGAAACCAGTGAAGTAACAACAGTGCAGATATAATGATTAGTAGTGCAAAATAGCTTATTTAGACTGATTAAAGTGACAGTGTGTGTGTGTTTGGGAGGGGGGAGTGGGAGAGTCCGTCAGAGGGTCAGAGTTCAGTGGTGCGTGGGGCAAAAGAGGGGAGGGGGGCAAGGTCGGGAGGGAGTTCAGCTTCCTGACAGCCTGATGGATGAAGCTGTCCTTCAGTCTGCTGGTCCTGGCCTGGAGACTCCGCAGTCTCCTCCCTGATGGCAGCAGACTGAAGAAGCTGTGTGTCGGGTGGGTGGGATCACCTGCAATGCAGAGGGCTTTGCGGGTGAGACGGGTGTTGTAAATGTCCTGGAGGGAGGGGAGAGAGGCACCAATGATCTTCTCAGCTGCTCTCACTATGCGTCGAAGTGTCTTGCGGTAGGACGCGTTGCAGGCACCATACCACACAGTGATGCAGCATTAAGAAACTTTATAGAAGTATTAACAAAATCTGGCAAGGATGTATCCCATGTGATACAGGAAAGCATGCAATTTATGCACACACAAAAAAGACTAAGCCTTGCAAGTAATGTCTGATTGGAACAATGATCTGGCGGACGGACTTATGCACCGGATCAAAAATCCAATGCAAAAACAGATTCAGGACCTTTTCACCTTTGTGTTAATCGTGCTCCAACTTGCGCTCACAAGCTGCACCATCAAGCGATTGGTCATCCAGAACTCAAACACTTCATTGAAGCTTTGTGACTGCCAGAGATCTTCGAAAGCCTAAAGTCTTGCAAAGACCCTCTCAGAAGAACTGCCAAAGCCTCTCACCAGAAAACCAACCAATCTCCGGAGGCCTTCCCAGAAACTACATCATCCAGACGCCAGATCAGCAACCAATCAAAAGCCCCGGGATTCCCTCAAGCAGCCAAACAAGGAAGCTTTTCAGCTGTCACAAACGCAAGTAACAAACAAGGTCTTCTATCTGCTGAAATCGGTGCTGAACTAATTAAGCAGTAAACGTAAGACAAATCTCTGCTTTGTGATTTTCTCAGTTTGAATTTAAAGAACTCGTGGAAAACGAGTGTTAGAACTTTGGGAACTTCATGCAAACTCCGTTAACTAATTTTCCTGAACCTTTTGTGTGTGTGTATGTGTGTGTGTGTATGTGTGTGTGTTTTAGCTTAGTTTAATGTAATCTAGAATAGCCAATAAATTCTTGTTTCATTTATAAAGAAGTATTGTTGTAGCATTTGGACCAATCAGACTCACCGTTTTTCATTAGATTTAACAAATCAATTATTAGAGCATTTGAATGGTGCCAGGATGTCTGCGAACATACCATGTTTGGTCTCTATGAATTCATCTTCAGATTGAGAGTGCATATTACATGCTGATACCTATGCAACATTTGAGTGTTCTAAGAATCTTTCCTAGTTTGTGCATCAACACCCAAGCAAATTACATTTGCAAATTACCATGCCCTCACACAAAGGGTCGTAAAACCCTCCAGTAACTGCAACCTCCCGCTTGGGATTTCAGCCTTTCTCATTGGACAAGCCCATCTTGAGAGGTGTGAATCTTCTCAGACCTTAAAGGCCTCACATCAGTGACCCGCCTTCAGTCTGCGGTTCTGTTAGATTCTGAGAAGATGTGAGCTAGAACGCTTCTAAGGACACCCTAAGTTCGCGCCAGGCCTCGGGCCTTGACTTTCCATTCACCAAGATCATCTGACTCAAACTGGTTCTTTTCCATCAACCAACTTCAGAAAAAAGATTAACTTGAGCCTTCAGATTGCATGAGGACTCTCTGTCAGACAGACATGTAAGTATTAAACTTAGTCGTATTAATTGATACATTAAGTATCATTTGCACCTTTTTACAAAGGTGTGTTTGAACTAAGAAGCTGATGTTTCCTTCAGGCTGTAGATCTGCTGAAAAGCAAATGGTACCATAGCTTCATGCTTCATTTCTCTTCTCTTTACTGCCTAAGCTTTAATCCTGTTCCTATACCAACTGTATGTGTGTGTGTGTATGTGTATGTTAGACTAGTTTAAGTGTTTATGTAGTTAATAAAGTCTTACTTGTATCACACTTGACGTTGTTCATTGTTTGCTCATAACTGGAGTCCCTAATCATGCAGACATTTGCTACAGGCTCTGTGTAGTATTGTACAGTAAGAGTTATTTCCCTTAACCAGGAAATTAACGTTCTTAGAATTGACAGACAGTTGACCCTGAGAGGTCAAGTAAATACTTACAACGGATATAAATATTTACAATTAATTATAACTAGTTATGATTAATTATTCATATTTCCCCTTTGAGGTGATTCGCTACATTGTCTTGTGTGTATTTAATTTAAAAGTCAAAACTCTGCCCAGATCTTAGTTACCTAGCTCTTAGCTTATAAATTATCACTAGCATGTGTTGACCTGTGGCCAGGGATAACACAAATATCAAAAAATTGTTACGATATACTGATTTTAATGTTCGCTGGACAAACAGTTGATAAAGTATAAACTAATCAGATTTGGAATCCGTTAAATCGCGTTGATTTTGAATCTTCAGATTCGATTCCCCCCAAAAACCTGAGTTAAAATAAAATAGTTCATTTTATTACATTGTTAGCTTTTAATATATGGTTTTATCCTGATTAAAGCTTTAACACAGTACAGCAACTGCACGCGCGTCCATATTTAATGCTTCTCATAGCTATGTGAAAATAAGTGTATAATAGGAACAGTTCATTGCTGGAGCTGAGCTGAATATGAGAGAGAGAGAGAGAGAGTTGCAGAGCGTGTGCAGAGCAGGGGACACGAGGAACAGCATTAAGAGCCGCTGCTTTTGAACATTGATTTTGAATCTTGTGAATCCATTCGAATCGTTAGAAGACAGAATCGTGATTCATATATGAATAGATTTTTATGTGCACCTCTAGTTTTCTCTTCCTCTTCTCTAAATGAGCGCAGCATGGCCTCGCCCCCTTTGCTGCATGTTCCCGAGGGCAGGGTTTATCTGGGTTTGTGATGTCACGAACCCGGGAAGTAACTCGTTGAAGTCCCTACCAGCCGTTTTTGTAGGCATTAAACTGGCAGAATTTTAAAAGACGATATCTCCATTTGCATTGAACTTTCAGCTTCGTAACTTTGCAGATATTGTTTATGCTCAAACAGCAACATTACACACTAACTAACATTAAAAAAGTGAAATTGCAATCAACCACCCCTTTAAGACATTGTAAAAAAAATAAAAAATAAAATACTTTGCACAACAGTACAACATGTAAGAAATCACACACACACACAGCTGTAGTAATTGTTGATGTTCTGAATGTCTCTGTTCTTGTGTTCAGATGCCTGTTTTCTCACACTGGATCCAAACACAGCACACACTCAACTCAGACTGTCTGAAGAGAATAGAAAGGTGACACGTGTGAGAGAGAAACAGTCGTATCCTGATCATCCAGACAGATTTGATGAGTGTCGTCAGGTGTTGTGTAGAGAGAGTGTGTGTGGACCCTGTTACTGGGAGATTGAGTGGAGGGGATATGATGTGTATATATCAGTGTCATATAAGAGCATCAGCAGGAAGGGACGGGATAATGAGTGTCGGTTTGGACGTAATGATCAGTCCTGGAGTTTGATCTGCACTCACTCCAGTTACTCATTCAGACACAATAAGATAGAGACTCATCTCCCTGTAAAGTCCATCAGCAGGAGAATAGGAGTGTTTGTGGATCACAGTGCAGGATCTCTGTCCTTCTACAGCGTCTCTGACACAATGAGCCTCATCCACACAGTCCAGACCACATTCACTCAGCCGCTCTATCCTGGGGTTTATGTTAATAATGAATCATCAGTGAAACTGTGTTGATGAATCAGAGAATGACGAAAGATTCTACCCATAATTGCTTTGAGCTGCATTATAAATCAGTAACAGTGAGATGTTATAGTCTCTTCATGACATTAATACTGCAGCTCAACTTCTGTCACTGAAATAACAGTCAGAATAAATGTGTCAGAAATCCTCATATAGACAGTAAGATCTGTGTGTGAGTGTGTGAGAGCGAGTGTGTGTGTGTTTGTGGGAGTGTTTACTACATTTATTGTAGTGTCACATCAATCATTTGTATTATTACTATCAAAATGTTCTTTCAATTGAAAAGTTCTTCATGAATCATATTTGTGAAAAGTACATGTCATTCATTTTTCTCTATTGTTTTTGTGCATAAATAATAAAACCCGATGAGAAATGAACTTTGATGTTTGTATCATGAATATAATCGATTCCTCACAAGACTGACATGAGCTTCAGGAGAGTTTCTGACATTATTAAATAAAACAATCATAGCATTTAATAAAATATATTTTAACTACAGAAAAGCTGTATTAAATTATTTTAGTAAATAAAAATAAGTAAATAAAATCACCGCTTGAAAGAGATCCCATAATATGTAAAAATGTGATAAAATATGTATAATCTGCTGATTTGATAATAATAGCAACCACAATATGATTTTTTAATTATTTGAATTATAACAAATTAATAAAGAAATATGTTATGATTACAATAATACTATTGCACTCTTAAATTAAAAGCATGTATTATTATTAAATAAAAAAAAACACAAAACCCTCTTATTGCAATAATTATATTGCACTTAAAAATAAAAAGTCAGTATTTAATAATGAAATTGTTACGTCCTCAACATTACATAGAGACGGAGGCAAGCATAGGCTCGTTTTGACGGGATATTTATTATTATTGAGTTACGTTAACATTAAGGAGAGAGAATAAATCAATAAAAACTGCTGATCCCTCGGCTGGTTCTCCTCGAGTTGCCAGCAAAAGTCCCGCCACTGCTGTCTGCGTCACAACAGTATTTATGCTGCTCAGCTCATCAGGCACACAGGTGTTTGAAATCGGCACCTAATGAACGAAGACAAACAAGAAAACTCTCGGCCACTAGGGGGCAGCCGTATCAGTACAAGCCGATACTTGTGAACAAAAATCTAAATGACATGCATATGTAACACCTTCCCCCTTTTTAAGTTAATTTATGGGGAAAATAAATAAATAAATAAATACACACACATATATACATACATATATATATGTATATACTGTATGTATATATATATCCAAAAAAACTAATAAACCAAATATCTTACTTCTATTGGTCAAGCTTTTTATGAGACCAGGTATTTCTCTACCCAGTATACTTACCACGTCCTCGATAGGGCATCTGCCACTATGTTGTCTTTGCCTCGGACGTGTTGTATGTTGAGATCGTAAGGTTGCAAGCAAAGACTCCAGCGCATAAGAAGCTGATTCAAATTTCGCATTGAATTTAAAAAGGCAAGAGGGCTATGGTCACAATATACAACAATGGTATAGGACGACCCCAGATAAACTTCGAAGTGTTGAATAGCAAGGACCAAAGCTAAAGCGTCTTTTTCAATCATTGAATATCTACGCTACGCTGGCGAAAACTTCCTTGAGAAGTAACAGACTGGATGTTCGATATCATCAGCACCCCTTTGCTGAAGGACAGCTCCCACACTGGCATCAACAGCTAAGCTGAAATGCTTGGAGAACTGTGGCGCTGCCAACACTGGTGCTGACATGAGTAAGACCATTCAAATGCTCTCTTGGGACTTAAGAGATATGTAAGGGGAGACACTACCGTCACAAAGTTCTTACAAAACGAGCGGTAGTAACCTACCATTCCCAGAAATCGTCGCAATTGTTTTCGACCACTTGGAGACGGGAAATCATAGATAGCAGCAATTTTTGCCGCGATTGGTCTAACTCGTCCCCTACCCACGACTTTCCCAAGATAAACTAACGTAGCCTTACCAAATTCACACTTTGCTAAATTGATGGTAAGATTTGCGTCTCGCAAACGCCGAAAAACTTCTCTCCAGGAAAAGCCGATAAAACTATTGACAAGACGCTGGAAAGTGCTGGGAGTGTTTTTCATTCTGAAGGCCATGACTTTATAACGAAGAAAAGCATCAGGAGTCACAAAGGCAGAAATTTCTTTGGCACGTTCCGTCAAAGGAACCTGCTAATATCCCTTCAATAAGTCGAGTTTTGAAACGTACTCGGCAGAACCTACGCAATCGACACAGTCATCTATTCTGGGTAAAGGATAACAGTCAGTTTATTAGATGGCATTTACTCACAGATAGTCTGTACAAAACCGATAAGTACCATCAGGCTTACAGACCAGCAAACATGGAGAACTCCATGGACTGGAGCCGGGTTCGGCGATGTCGTTCTCTAACATGTACCGTATCTCTTTTTGCAAAAGAGCTCTTTTAAGTAAATTAACACGGTATGGATGTTGTTTGATAGGTTGCGCAGAACCTACATCAATGTCATGCTCAATAACGGTCGTCTGGCCAGGTACATCGTTAAACAGAGCCGGGAACCTGTGTACTAGATCTAAAGTGTCAACCCTCTCCGTAGGAGATAAATTCGGAAGATGATCAAATAGCGAAGAAAACATCTCAGAATTTTTCAGTCTACCCTCAAGTGTGCACCTAGAGGGACCTACTTCATCCTCTTCACGCACCTCTTCTAAGGCAGCCAACGCAATTGGAGATGTTACATTAGCTTCCATAACGGGAACATCATTCGGCGAGCTTTTAGCAATCAGCTCTCTCGCGTGGTAAGCTTTTAGCATATTAACGTGACAAACTCTGGTGTTTTGATGGCGATCGGGAGTATAAATAACATAATTACGATCTGATATCTTCCTCTTAATTTCATAATGACCACTATATCGAGCTTGGAGCGATCTCCCAGACACCGGCAACAGGACAAAAACTTTGACAAGAAGGCTAAAGAGAGAAGTTTTGTTGCAGGTGACAAAGCAAGATTTCATTTTACTTTGAGCCTTCTCAAGGTTTTTCTTGGCTAGTTCACGTACCTTGTACAGGCGTGTGCGAAACTTGGTCATATACTCGGGAAAAGAAGTTTAGCATCACCAAGCCATTTCTCTTTCAATACAGTTAATGGTCCGCGTGGCTTATGGCCAAAAGCCAGCTCCGCTGGGCTAAATCCCAGCGATTCCTGCACCACTTCACGCGAAGCGAAAAGTAACCATGGTATTCCATCTTCCCAGTCTCGATCAAGCTCAAAGCAATAAGCGCGTATCATCGACTTCAATGTTTGGTGGTACCTCTCCAGTGCTCCCTGACTCTCAGGATGATAGGCACTGGAAACATTATGTTGGATGTTAAGCTTTTTAAGCAGCTGAGAAAAGGTACAAGAAGTGAAATTTCCACTCCCAGCAAGAGGAACTAATATGTTTTCACATTTGCTTGGGCTGAACACATGGCTACAAAGCATCTGCAGCTTAAAAGGAGTCAATTTCATTGATAACTTCAATCTTTTCTGGGGCCATAGACAGCTGTTTAAACTGGATGGCCTCCACCTAAACAAACTTGGTGCAAGAGTGCTAAAGGACAACATCTACTTCTCCATCCGTCATCCTTCAGTAGTGTGTGCCAAACTACTCAACCTGAATGGCACA